TGCCCAAGTTCTTCAGATGATCTTTCTGAACCGAAGCCTTTTGTCCTTGGCCGCCTGGCCTTGCTCTCCTCCCCCCTGGCTCCCATACCTTGCCAGACCACCTGAGCAGGGGGACCTCCCTGATTCCCTATGGCTCAGAGAAGCAGGGCTGGCCTGGCCAGGTGGGCAGCTACTGAAGGCCTGCAGGGGTGAGGGTGCCCTCAGGAGTCGATCGAGTGAGGCGAGTATCGAGGTTGAACTCTGCAGGACTCTTGCTCCAGTGACCCTCTTCCCCTTTTGTACTTTGCCCGCGTCCCCCGGTCAGCACCCTTGCCTGGGCCCGCCCTCCTGTCATCTGAGGCTAGAGACCGGTCAGGCTACCCTCCCGGCTCCTTTTCTCCGTTTTCTCGGGTCAGTAATCAGACGGCCTCTGCCCTGAGCTCACCTGTATCTATGCAAGGTATGCTGGGCCCAAGGGCCCAGGACAAGCACGGCCCTTCACATATGTGTGGTCTCCTGGAGAGAAGGGAAGCCAGGGCCCCAGATCCCGGCCAGCCTGAGCCAGAAGTGGGCGGTTTAAGGAAGCCGCTGCTCTTTGAAGTTCTAGTGCCTTCCTGTCCCTCCACGGAAAACTGGGCAAGGGTCAAAATAACACAGGGTGAAAATAACCAGTCCAGGAGGGAGGCAAGGCTGTCTGCCAAGTCCATGGGTATCCATGAGGTGCAGCTCAACATCCGGGTCTCGAAGACTTCTTGTCCCAGAAGGCAGGCAGGCCCTTGAGGACTGTGTGCCACCACTGTGAATGTCCCCTTGGCCTTTAGAAGTCAGAAAAGGGCCATTTACAGGTAGCCTCTTTTCCCAGGGGTGAGGTGGCCCATGATCAGGGACAAGGCTTGTCTTACTGGGACTGAATGATGAACATCAATGTCTTGACCTTCCTGGGTTCTCAGCCCACTGGGTCCTCAATAGCTGTGGGTTCTGATGTAACTGCAGATGTGACAGCCTTTCATTCTTTTTTCGTTTTTTCAAGACAAGGTTTCTCTGTGTTTGGAGCCTGTCCTGGAACTCGCTCTATAAACCAGGCTTGAACTCAGAGATTCACCTGCATCTGCCTCCCAAGTGCTGGAATTAAAGGCGTGCACCACCACCACCACCACCACCACCACCACCACCACCACCACCACGACCACCTTTCATTCTCAACCTGCTCAGATCCAACCTGATTTGAGGGCACAGAACAGTCCTTTAAGGTACACCACACTTTAATTCAGAGGGATTTCCCTAACTTCTGTGATGCCGGAAGACAGGCAAGAGAGGGTGTGGAGCATCCACAGTTCAAGAAATAGCCGCTTTGGGTGATCCCGCTCTATCGTGTCTCCAAGGGGACCGGGAGGCTGCCCTGCCTCTGCTGAAGTGCTTACACAGCTTCCAGGGATACACATCTACTGTTCATTGTATTTTCCTCTCCCTTCATTTTCTTTCCCCCCACCCCTTCTTCCCTCCCTCTTTCTTCCTTTCTTTCAAGTAGCCCGTTGGGCGGTGGTGGTACATGCCTTTAATCCTAGCACTTGGGAGGCAGAGGCAGGCGGATCTCCATGAGTTCGAGGCCAGCCTGATCTACAGAGCAAGATCCAGGACGGGCACCAAAACTACACAGAGAAAACCTGTCTCAAAAACAACAACAACAACAAAGATTTCAAGTAGCCCAAGCTGGCTTCAATCTCACTATGTAGCCAAGGATACCCCTGCCGTGTGTACTGGGGCTACAGATGAGCACCACCTTGCCTGTTTGTGCAGTCCTGGGGGTTGGATGTGGAGCATTGTGTATGTTAGACAAGCAGTCCATGAACTGTGTCATGTCCTTGGCCCCTTGTGTATATATTTCTCTTTAATTCTTTATTATCCTGTGTGATCTGAACTATAGGAGCAGGTCTGGGGTATGACTCATTGGTAGAGTGCTTGTCTAGAATCTGCAAGACACCGAGTTCGGCCCACAGCACTGCAAAATGAAAACAGCTTAACTGTACAGAGAGTACGATAATGGTCGGTGGGAGAGAAGGGGGATCCTTAATGGGTCCAAAGTTTTCTTTGAAAGATGAAAGAGTCACGGGGCTGGGTGGTGGTGGTGGTGGTGGTGGTGGTGGTGGTGGTGGTGGTGGTGGTGGTGGTGGTTACACAACATTCTGAATGTTTTTTAAGCCACTGCCCTGTACTTTGGAAGTGGTTAATTCTCAGTACTTGGGAGGCAGAAGCAGGTGGGTCTCCTTCAGTTCAAGTTCAGCCTGGTCTACACAGTGTTACATAGAGAGACCCTGTCTCAAAATAAAAAAAAATTAAAAAGTGGTTAAGATAGTAAACTTTTTGTTTTGTTTTAAGACAGCCTCCTATAGCCTAGCCTGGTCTTTTTGTTTGTTTGTTTGTTTGTTGGGATAGGGAGGGTCTCACTATGTAGACCAGGCTGGCTTGGAACTCACAGAGATCTACCTGTCTCTGCTACTTGAGTGTTGGGTTCAAAGGTGTGCATCACCAGACTTTGGAAAAGAATTATCTTTTAGTGCCATCAAATACTTAGAAATGAATGAACATCGTGGATGGGGTTTTCTAGAAGTAACCAGGCCGCAGGCTGAGGGACATGCCTGGTATAAGATAGGCCTCAGCTGTTGAAACTGGAAATGGACATATTCTTTTTTTTTTTTTTTTTTTTGGTTTTTCGAGACAGGGTTTCTCTGTGTAGCTTTGCGCCTTTCCTGGAGCTCACTTGGTAGCCCAGGCTGGCCTCGAACTCACAGAGATCCGCCTGCCTCTGCCTCCCGAGTGCTGGGATTAAAGGCGTGCGCCACCAACGCCCGGCCGGAAATGGACATATTCAAGATTTTACACTCTTTGGCCTAATTCTGTCTATGTTTAAAGTACCACATAATAAAAGCATATGTGGAACAGAAAAATACAATAGTGCAAAACAGTAAGTGTTGGTTTTACATAAAGGTGTGATTTGTGTAATGATTATGGATAATTAAAATTCTTTTTTTTTTTTCCAAGACAGGGTTTCTCAGTATAACAGCCCTAGATGTCCTGGAACTTGCTCTATAGACCAGACTGGCCTCAAACTCACAGAGGACCACCTGCCTCTACCTCCCAAGTGCTGGGATTAAAGATGAGCGCCACCACCGCCTGCCTTAAAATTCTTTGCTTATTGTTTTTTATCTCCTGTGCATGGTGCCCGGTGCCCACAGAGGCACGAGTCGTCTCTTTGGCAGCTGTGAGTCCTGATTGAGAAGGATGAGACGGGGAAATATAGGAAATTTTATGCAAAGTTTCTGCATATTGTTGAACTAATATGAAGAACAGAAATTATTATACTTTGCTGAGCATGGTGGCACACTGCTGGAAGCCCAACACTCAGGAGGCAGAGGCAGGTGGATTTCTGTGAGTTCAAGCCCAGTCTACATAGTGAGTTCCAGGAAAGCCAGGAATACTCAATGAGACTGTGTGTGCTTGTGTGTGTGTGTGTGTGTGTGTGTGTGTGTGTGTGTGTGTGTGTGTGTGTGTGTGTGAAGTGTAATCCAGAGAGAAAATTACTAAGAGAACAAAATGCAGAAGAAAATAACAAAAGAATTAAAATGGGCTTGGTCTGGAGCATGCACTCCCAATACTCGGGAGGCAGAGGCAGTCAGATGTCTTAAGTTCAAAGCCACCTTGTCTACAGAATGAGTTCCAGACAGCCAGGGCTACACAGAGGGGTAAAAATTAAAGTGGAACAGTTGATCCAGATGTGGTGACACTCCTATCATCATATCATAACCCAGTAGTCTGAGGCAGCAGGATCATCATGAGTTGGAGGCCAACCCAAGCTACAGATGAGACCCTCTCTCAAAAAAACAGTAATCAGCCGGGCGGTGGTGGCTCATGCCTTTACTCCCAGCACTTGGGAGGCAGAGGCGGGCGGATCTCTGAGTTCGAGGCCAGCCTGCTCTACAGAGCGAGATCCAGGACAGGCACCAAAACTACACAGAGAAATCCTGTCTCAAAAAACCAAAACAAACAAAAAAAGTAATCAAAAGGCATCGTTAGAACAGATGTTCAGAACACACGACAGTAGTGGGAGAACAGAGGAACAAAAGGATGTGAGGGATGTCCTTGTCATCAGCTGTAATGTAAGTGGACTCTGTAGTCTGGCCAGACCTAACACAGTGACCTTTCCCCCACATATGTGCAATACCTCCAAGATAGACTGAGGCCGTGGAACAAACCTCATTAGGTGTACATGGGGATTGTATTCCTGGAAAGACCAGCACAAAAGAGCAAATCAGGTTGACCCT